AATCACCAACTTTGCTTGTTTTAAGCCGACACTCTCTGCAATGGTGAATCCTCTGTCCGCCATTACCATGTCCCCAGGTAATAAATGTTCCAAAAATCCACAATTTTCGGTCAAATACTTATCAGAAGTGCGGCCTTCCCACACTTCTGACACAAAACATATGCTTCCTTGAGGGGAAATACCAATGAGTATTTTTATAGTGTTGTGGTGCTTATATGAGGAGAATGTTTGGGCCCTTGCAAGTAAGTTTGATGGACATTCAATAAACAGCTCAAAACAATCGATTACCACAGTGACTTTCTTTCTGAAAGCATACTGAAAACAAAGTGGCATTGTGTTCCGTAACTGTTCTCTTTCGGGCCAAAAAACAAGAGTAGACAACTTGGCATCCAGCACCACCATCCAAGATGAAAAAATTCTAGAGGCTGTGGTCAAAGATATGTTAAATCGGTAAGCCAAGTGCTGAAGTGGCACATTTAACCGAAGTTTCATCAAAACCAGCACAAATTCTTGAAATCTGTCTAATGATTGAGTACAGCGAGTGACATCAGGAGCAACATGTTCAAATATCACCAAGAGTACTTCGTATGAAGGCAGACCTCTGTAAAGACGCACCTTCTCGTCACCTTTAAAGAATTCCCTGTCTGATGCTTGATAGCCGCTACTTTTAGGGACAAGATAGTCAAATTCTTCTGTCTGGGTTTCAGCGTCCTTGTCAGGCGCTTCTAAACAGCCAGTTTCTCGATATAAATAATCGAATGCCTCTGTTTGGGTTTCAGCGTCCTTGTTGGGCGCTTCACATCCGACAGTTTTTCGATATAAATAATCAAATGTTTCTGTTTGTGTTTCTACACCAGTTGCCATACTTTCTTCTTGTTGTTCTGCGTTGTTAGCACAAACAACTGGAGCATCTTCATGCGCAAGTTCCATCGCTTCAACATCTCCCGAGGTACTTGCTGAATCGCTGGAAAAATTTCTATCCACAACCCATGGACCGCTTTCATTCAGAAGTGTCATTTTCTTCGCCGCCTCGAGTTGCTGTTGTTCTAAGGCACTCTTCCTTCGAGCTTTTGCTCTTTCAGCCCGTTCAGTCGCCGCCTAGGAGCTTTATTCTCTGTATCTCTTTTTGCCAAGGTTTAAACTCAGAGCCCAATCGACGTTGTGCTTATTGCAGCACTGGGAAGGTTTCCCAGACACGAAGTGGTGGCCACAAACTCTTTCACTCTTGAAGATGTCCTTGTATTTCACATCGTCTCTGCTAATCGCAGAAATCCACCTCTCGCGCCTCATTCTCGTTAGTTCCTTCGTTTCTTCACCTTGATTATAAATAACCGAAGGTATACGAAACATACCAACTCCTTTTGCTGTATCGCTTTTGCTCGCACAGCTTACAACAATACACATAACCATTGTTACATCTAGGTCCTTCTCCAGTCGCGCGTCTCTTCGAGTCAGCTTTGTTTACATGTCAGGGGCACCAATATGGCGAACACTGCACGTGGTCAATTTACAGGTCACGTGGGTGAAAACCAAGAGTAACAGCAAGTGTACCTTGTTGTTTTACGTGGGAGCCTGCAGCATCCTGTTCTCCTTTCGCATGGGATGTCTTGAAATAGTTACGCTGAATCGGAAAACCAAAATCGGCTACACAGCAGGACAGGTTCCCAGTGCAGTACCTTGACTTGTATTGTGCAGCGCAGCCATCTGTGAACTCGTGCATTTTCTTAACAGCTACCTTAAGATCTTGGCTAAGGTATTTTGCTATGAGCCTCTGTGCATGATGCACAGAGTCGAAATCCTGCACTCGGTTGTCGCTGATCACGAAAACATGGTGCTTGAGGACACATGGATCCTCAGCGGTACTTTCCTTTCCATCAGCATCCATAGTTGCATGGCGTTACATAACAGTGATATGGAGGCTTGTCTTGTTTACATCGAAATATTGGGACTGTATTTCCTTTTGGCCTCTGCAGGAATAGCTCTCAGAGTAGTCATGAATACGAACTACATACCCGAGAGGTAAATTTTCCAGTAGATCATCAAGCTGCTTTTTCTGCCAAACAGACATGAACTGGTGGAGAGGATAAGCTTCTAGCAGCTTAATGAAGTACTGGAACAGTTCCTTTGGTGCTGTTTCCTGTTGTACAAGGGTAATATTCTTCTGTTGATCCCCAGAAGAGGTCAGCTTTCCAGTGGCCACGTAGTCATAGCATTTCCACTTGACTAATTCACTTCCAGACCTTTCCTCTGGTAAAAGCCGAAAGAGGTGTCCCACAGTTGTCACATGTTTGGTTTACGCAACCAAACTTGTGGAACTCACTTCCTTCGGGCTTCGGACATAAGGTCATCTCTACAGCCTTACTGAGGGACATTGGAAGAGGTGGATTGTCAGCATTAACAGCCTCTTTTAACAAATTCTTTCTGAACTTAACATTAAAGACCAGCCTTGCTTCCTCGTGTTTTCTACATAAGCAGGATCGTCTGTCCCTTTCTCTTGCTG